CCATGGAGCTGGGCTGTGGTGGTGCACGCCTTTAATCCCAGCACTCACAGGCAGAGGCAGGCAGATCTAAGTGAAGTTGGAGGCCAGCCTGATCTACAGAGCAAGTTCCAGGACAGCCTGGGCTACACAGAGAAACCCTGTCTCAAGGGCGGAGGGGGGGGTTGGGGCTGGGGGTTGGGGGTTGGGGGATGGGGGAAGGATGTTCACGGAAAGAGGCCAAGGGTGTGAATTGTTGGTAGAGTATTTGCATAGCCTACATGAGACTCTGCATGACCTCTTCCCCAGTTTGCTTATTTATTTATTATTTTTATTTACTTATGTACTTTATTGAGGCAGAGTCTCACTGTGTAGCTCTGGTTGGCCTGCAACTCTCCATGCATACAGGCTGGCCTCAGACTGACAGGGACTGGTCAGCTGCCTTCTGCATTCTGGGATTAACGGTGTGTACCCCTACACTCAACTTGAACTTGATTATTGTATCTGTGGTTAATAGAAATTGCCACTCTTGGGCTGGAGAGATGACTCAGAGGTTAAGAGCACTGGATGCTCTTCCAGAGGTCCTGAGTTCAATTCCCAGCAACCACATGGTGGCTGACAGCCATCTATAATGAGATCTGGTGCTCTCTTCTGGTGCCCAAGCATATATGCAGGCAGAACACTGTATCTTAAATAAATAAATGTGTGTGCTATTAAAAAAAAAAAAGAAATTGCCACTCTTGCTCAAGGTTCCAGGTTTGGTTCCCAATATCCATGTTGAGTGGTTCACAGCCAGAGGATTCAGTGTCCTCTTTTGAACTTCCAGGCACATGTCCGTGCATAGCATGTGCACACACGTAGTTTAAAGGGGGTGGGGAATTATGTAAAGATGGTCCAGGAGTTAAGAGCCTGTACTGCGCTGGCATCTGGTTCCCAGCACCCACGCTAAACTGCTTGCAACCATTTATAACTCCAGATCCAGAGGATCTAGGGCCCTCTCCTGGTCTCTGTAGACATCACACTCACATGTACATACACCAAGAAAAGCATACACGCATAATTAAACTAAAATCTTTAACAATAAATAAGTAAAAGTAGAAATAAATGTAAAGAAAAGGAAAGAAAGATCTGCATGAAGACCTAGCCTCACACAGATATGTAGTTAAAAGAGGGAACTGTATATAAATAATCTTGGCCTCACACAGATATGTAGTTAAAAGAGGGAACTGTACATAAATAATCTTGTCAGGTAATTGTGAATATCTTTCTTTGATACCACCCCAAAGTTCAGTGAATAGTAGTTTCTTAAAAGTTATGAGAAGTGTGGAATCTAAAACCACATCAATGAACTTTCCTAGTTTTTTTTTTACACTAAGAACCATCGATCCATTTTTTACTTTTAGCAAATCTACAATGCCCTGACTTAGTAACATTATGCATTGAATATTTGCAATATGTTGGTTAAATTGAGCTAGACAGATCTTTCAAAATGTTGACACTATTTTAAAAAAAGAGTCACATTTATTAACATCACCATGGATCTCATAAAACACATGACATATTAGGAAGCCATTGTGCTCACGTTAACAAACTCAAGACTTGTAAATTTTTACTTGCAGTTACAAATACTGCCATTTCTAGAAAACGCTATGCCCTGCTCTCTTTGCAGTTACAAGCTCACATCATTTTTTTTCTTCTTTTTGAGAAGAACCCAAGTTTGTCTGCCAATCATTCTTTCAAGTAAAGATAATGTCCCACAAAAAAGAAGACTATTTCCAACAATCTCAGGAACGATTTTCCTCTGGCCCCTGACGGACTTAGCAGCTGAGGCAGCAGCAGCAGAGACAGCGAGTGCTTTCTGAGCCCATTACTTCATCAAAAGGAAAAGTCTTGTCTCAAGGGTTCAGATTTAGGAAAATTCATAATTTTTCCTGCTCTATCAAGGGCATCCTTTCTGTCTCCTCTGAGTACTTGTGGTGAAGAATAGAATGACTAATCGTAATAGTGGTGCCCCTGCCTTCATTTGTGCCAAGGTACCAGCATTTTTGCTCATCTCTGCCTTGGCCTCTTTACTACAAATGCCAACATGGAGAAAAGGCCAAATAACATCGTCACATTATTACAAAAGCTTTTAAAACATTATTAACTAATTAGTTAATATCATCGAGGGCTGCCGCACATGCCATGACACACTTTGCTGAAAGTGGGTTCCCTCTTCCCCCAAGCAGGTGTCAGAGGCAGGACTCAGGACGCCAGGCATAAAAATACCTGGAACCCTGTGGACCCTCTGTAGGCCTCACACTGTTCTAAGGGCTGTGATCCCCCGGTCCACCCACACCATTAGCAATTCTTGGGCTTAAGCAGAATTACACCTGTGAATTAGCATTCAGAATGCACAATTTAAAAAAAGGATCCAAATAAATCTTCCATTTGATGGAAGATGGGGTAGAGAGAGGACTAAGATTTTTAAGGAATATATGGTCTTAAAAGCATAGTGACACAAAACAATATTTGAGTCTAATGCTATGGTAAGAATCCAAACTGATAGTTCATGGGTATGTGCGCCCAGACATATTAAATTTGGATTTTCAATTTTGTAGGTGTAATCTCCAATATTTGTCTTCCTAATATTTTAGATCAGTCCAACATTAAATTTTGTTTGAATATATAGCAATTAAGGGTGGATACAAAAGAACTTGAAGAGTGGTGTCTATTGCTCAGACATCAACCTGAGATTTAAACAGAACACCCTATTTCAATTTCCTATTGTTATATATTACTTCAAATAATTTTTGGAAAAAGGTAGAGGTATGAATAAAGTCCATTTAAAAGTGCTTTTGGCTGTTGATGAAACGCCTATATAATTAAAAGTCAAAAGCATTTGCCTGAATGCCTTTAAAAGGTCGCAGCAAATGCACTCAGCTTGGAGGAAGGCCCCAAAGTGTTTTCGATTGCACCATAGTCGTACTGTGAGGAGCTATTGCAGTTGCAGGAAAAGGTGTGCCGTGCCCATTTGCAGTTGTGACGCTAACATCCTAGGTAAACATTGCGAGGGAGGTGCGGTTGGATGTAGCACCATAGTGTTTACCGCTTTTTAGGAGTGAACAGCCCACTGCACTCTGCACAGAATGAGTTTGCCATTCGTATGTGAACTTCAAGCCTGACGTATAGTTCAAGTCATGGCCAAACGGATTTGATCGGAATTGAAAGACAGTCTGTTTCAAAATCGTAACACAGGGAAGTTTAGCTGCCTCTTTTTGTTTGTTTTTCTTATTTTGAGACAGAGTCTCACTGTGTAGCTCTGGCTGGCCTAGAACTTTCTATGTGGGCCAAGCTGGCCTCAAGTGCACAGAGATCTGCCTGCCTCTGCCTCCCTAGTGCTGGGATCAAAGGTGTTGGTCACCATGACCGGTTTTAACTACCATTTAAACAATTTTATTTTTAATTTGAGTTGGTTTAAGGTTGATTCTCCAGTGTAAAGTTAATTGCTTTACATTGTGTTCATTTTAGCAGGCATTTAAACCTTGTTTTAGATAACATCACTTAACATTAGGGTGCTTGATATGTTAGCAGACATCAACAATAACGAGAGATCATTACTAATGAAAGCCATCTTTTGGGAGACACAGTCCCCTTCACGGTTTCCTAATGAAAACAATATACAGCTATTGCCACTTTTAAAGGGGTTGTATCTGAACTTAACCACCATGGCTCTCCGTAACACCACTGGAGACTCCCAAGTCCCACTACTTAGTTATTCATGTCAACTTACAGCATGCCAATTTAATGTTGTCTCTCATTGTGACTCCACCCTCTTTGATGAAAACATTTATTTAAAAATTGGAAGGAAAATATTTAACATAATAAGATGATGAGTCAAGAGGTTTTTCAAGCTCAAAAGGGAAGACGTAGTTTAAATAATGCACCTTTTTATTTTTTAGCTCTGACTCATGACATATAATGTATTCCACCAGGTTCAAAGTTTCCCCTTACAAAGAGTTTTATGAAATAACTCGTCTTCAGACCAATTTTTTACTTCAATTATAGTAGCAGATTTTGGAGTTTTAAATCATTAACAACCTCCCGGTGAACTTTTCTCAGAGTGGCTTACATACAGTCACCGGAAGAACTGAGTACCCTTTGTGTGGAGGCTGTCCTTTTCTGTTTTTCCTCTTTATGTGTCTCTTTGAAGCAAAAGTGTGTGATTTGTAAAGTCATGGAACTGTATCTCTTAATGAAAGCTGCTGTAGTGAGCTCAGACTGCACCCTGGGATTGCTTCAGGGTAAACTTCAGGTACCTGAGTTGGGGGCTGGGGTGGGGGGGATTTCAGAAGTCAAGATCCTGTGTGCACTGTATGAATATCACGAAGCAGTTAAGTCAACCCTCAGGAGTGACCTAATCTTACTGTCCCTCTTTCTTGACCAAGGACCAGTACTTTTCGTTTAGGTTGAGTTTTCCAAGTGTGGAACTCCACCGGACCCTCCAAAATTGGGCGTCCATCCCACCCACCTACTGATGTTGCCCTATGCTCTTTTAATTAAAAAAAAAAAAAAGATTGATTTCCATTGGTCTGTTTTAAGAGAACGTGTGAGAGTCTGTAACCTCCAGACTCAAGGTGATGGGGTGAAGAGTCAATCTTCCAGCGACAAAGCCTGAAGAATTTTAATGCAGAACCAAATGCAGTTTAATACACAAAAGAAAGTGGCTAGTGCAACCTATTTCCTTAAAAAAAAAATCTGTAAAATAATGTTTCCAGGGCGAGGGGGGGGAAACTTTTCCAACCCCCCCTTGATTGGGCGACTAGCGGGATAGATTTTGAAGTCCATCCCACCCCCGCGCGCGCGCCCCCCATTCTTTCCAGACAGAACAGTTGTAAATGCGAGGCTGAGTCCGCCCTGAGAGCCTTAGGGCACCTTCCTCTTTGCTCTCTCTCTCCTCTGTGTGTGTGTGTGTGTGTGTGTGTGAGTGTGTGCGCGCGCGCGTGTGTCTAGCCCTCTCTCTCTTTCCCTCAGTCTGTGCCTCTGTGTGTGTGTGTGAGTGTGTGTGTGACAGGGAGAGAGAGAGAGAGCGCGCGAGAGGAGAGCGAGAGAGCGAGCGAGCTGCGAGCCGTGCTGCCGCCGCCGCTGCCCTTTGATCCCGACATTAGTGTTAGGGGCTCGGAGACACAGCGCGCGGCCATAGACACCGCCGCACCGGCGCTCATTTATTTATACCTCCCATCACACGCGAGCACAGGGCGCACACACACACTCACACCTATTAGATCCGTTTCCATTGAAGAATATTACGCTCGGGGAGACAAGCCAGGTGCACGGCCAAAAAAAAAAAATTAAAAAAAAAAGAAAGGAAAAAAAAAAAGAAAGAAAGAAAGGAAAAGAAGAAAACCCCTCTTCTGGCTCCAGGAAACAAGCTTCAACCCATTGCACACACCGGAGAGAAGGGGTTTCCCCCTGCCCGCCCCCCAACTACCTCCCCGCTCCTGCCAGTGTCTGCCTGTCTGCCCCCACGGGGGTTTATTTGATCTCACATTAACCGAGGAGGAGAATGTGAGAAAAGGGGGAAAATGCCCAGGAGGAAGCAGGAGCAGCCCAAGCGCCTTCCCTCACGTAAGTCATCCCTTCTCCACCTCCTCTCCGTGCCATTTTCTCGCCCTCCCTCTCCTCTTTCCCCTCCGCAGCCTCCGCCGTTGTTTTCTGCATTAGTTTAGGGTTACAGAGGTGAAACTGACAAAGACACAGCCCGGGTTACTCCTCGTTTAGGTCTCTGCCGAGGCAGCCATGTTGGTGATGATCAGCCCCGTGCCCTTTCTATTCTCTCTCTCTCTTTTTCTTTTCTTTCTCTCGTCCCCTCTCTCTCCCTCTCTTTCTCCTCCTTGAGATCGGGCTTTCCCCCCTTTCCCTCCCCCTCCTCACTCCGGGTTGCCGGGGGAGGGGGCGGGCGGAGGGGGAGCAGTGTGGATGCCGGGTTTCTGTCGCGGGTGGGGGGAGGTGGGAGAGGTTGCAATCTCGCCGAGAGAGAGAGAGATTCCGTGTGGATCCCGGTGCCCGGGGTGGGGGGCTGCCGGGGTCGGGGCCGGGGCCGTGACATGGCGAGTGGGGGGCGCCGGGGCGAGGGCGCGCGGCCGCCCGCGGGGCTGGGGACCGGAGAGGTCGGTCTCCGGCTAAAGGTTGCGCCGGGGTGGGTCGGCCGCGGAGCCGCGGGCGGCCGGAGCCGGAGGCGGAGGTGGAGGCGGCGGCGGGGGGGGGCCGGGGGCCGCGGCCGAGGAGGGTGTGGGGGCGCCGGGGGGCGCTCGGGGGGCGAGGCCGGGCGGCCGGGCGGATGTGGGGTGCGGGAGCCGCGCCGAGGCTGAGGCGAGGCAGCCAGGGCGGCGCGCGGCGCGCGAGGTCCCTGCAGAGCCGAGGCGAGGGCGGAGCAGGGCTCCCGGCCGCAATAAAATGCGGGGTCAGGCGGAGCAGACGGAGCCCGGGCGGCGCGGGCTTCGCGGACCCCCCTCCCGGGCCAGCCCGAGCAGAGTCCGCGGCGGCTAAAGTGCACCCCGGCCCCTCCCGGCCGGGGCCGCACACGCCAGCGGGAGACTCCGCTGCGCGGCCGGGGCCCCCGGTCCCCTCCTCCACCACCGCCCGCGCCCCGGGTCCCTCCGCGCCGCCCTCCCGCTTTTCTTTGCGAGACTCTTTAACTTTTCCCCCACTCCCTCGCGGGCTCCCCCCCTCGTCGTCCGCCCCCCACCCCCCCGGCTCTCCGCTCGGAGTGTTCCGAGATGCTGCTGAAGCTAAAAGTGAAGGAGAAAGAAGCAACTAAAAATATCCCCCCGGGGCCGCCCGGCTCCTTGAATGCAGGGGAGAGAGAGGAGAGAGGGGGCAGGGGAGAAGGCGTGGGGCGGGGTGGCGGGAGGAGGGGACGCGGGAGGCGCCGGAGGGAGGGGTCGGGGGAGACGGAGGGTCAGTTTCTGCTCGCTCCCCTCCCGCCCTCCCCCGCGCGCGGCTCCCCTCTCCCGGGGCGGCTTGGCGCTGCTCGGAGCCCGAGCCTGCAGTCCCCGGGCTGGGGGCGGGAGCGGAGCCCGGGCGCCCGCCCTCGCGGGTGTCAGGCCGACGTGGTCGGTCACCTGAAGTTCACGGAGGGTGGGGGAAGGGTTAAGGGTATGGTGTCTCGGGGTGTGTGTGTGTGTGTGTTTCCGCCGCAGACGGGCGAGCGCGATCGATCTCCCCCCCTCTCCAGGTCTCCGCGGCGGTGCCCACGCGAGGGGCGTCCGCGGGGCTGCTGCTCGCCGCCCCCGGGAGGGCGTCCTAGGCACCCGGAGTGGCGAGCAAGGGCACGCGCGGGCGGTCCGCTCCGCAAACATTCCTCTTTTTCTTCCCGGCACGCAAGGAGTCGACGCACTGGGCTCGGGTTGTGCTTGCTGTTTTTTTTTCTTCCTCCCCTTCCTTTAGGAAAGAAAGAAAGAAAAAAAAAATGCCCCCGTGCAGTCCTTTCTTCGCCTGCCCGCTAGAGGTTCTGAGGATAATATCACATATGTAATATATATGCACATAAAATCACTCGCAGGCGGCTGCGTGTGTAGGAAAATTTTTGTGCGAGGAGGAGGAGGAGGAGGAGTGAAGGCGGCGCAGTCCGGGCGGGCGAGGCGGGAGGCTCCGCGCTGCGATTCACGGAAAACTCGCAGCAGTTGGTGGGAGCGTGCGTGCACATGGCCGGCCCCGGAGCCCCTCTCCCCGGACGCGCGTGGGCACGGGGGTGGGGGCGAGGCCGGTGTCCCGGGCGGGCGCCACCGCGGGAGGCTGGCCCTGCTCGCACTAAACGGGCTTCGGTCTTCTCCACGAACTTGCCCTTAGATGGCAACTTTGGGAGCTTGTGTGCGAGAACCAGGGCGGTGAGGTTACTTGGTCATTTTCCTTTCTTCTCTTCTCCCCCTGCTTTAAAAAAAATGTTGGCGGGGTTAGAGGGAGGGTGGGAGAAGAGAAGGGATTTATCTGTTTCAGCCGGGCTGCTGGAACGCCGCCCCTCCCGTGGAGTGCAGTGCCGTCGGGCAGCTGCAGCCTGCCCTGCCGGTGACCTTGACCCTGACCTCCTGCGACTACCCTCAGTCTGAGAGGAAATTCAGGCTCCATTTTAGCTCCGGTGTCTGGTGGGCCTCCCCTGCGGGTTGCTGCCTGTTGATGAAGTTGTATTTGGAGAGTAGGCTCCCTCCTCGTTCGTTCTCTGATTGAATGTTGTTATCTACTCTCTTAAAAAAAAAAAAAAAAAAAAGAAAAAGCCTCTCTCTTGAAGTGACATGAAGCCACTTTTACCTAAGTGATACGCAGTTTACTTTTGGAAGCACAGTAAACGTTCCTGCCCCTACCCACCCACCCCCTCCGCCCCCCCTCTTTTTAAGGGAAGTCTTACTTTGGAAAGCGTTTCCACCTCTTATTGAATGGATTTTTTTTTTTTTTTTGGTGGGTATGTGCTGCCTTTTCTGAGCGGGGGTTTTACACGTGTTTTATAAGCAGTTTGCATTTTGAGTAAGAGCAGTTTCTGGGCAAATGGTGTGTCTTGCAAGCCAGTCATAGTAACCCAGGGTTTGCCAAGAGCCCAGGGAGGATCTCAGAAACTTGAAAGTGTTATATAGACAAGAGACACACCAACTTGGGTAAATAAAAGTGACTGTTAATTTCGGCCTGGTACAGAATATGGTTGGGGACCCACGGCCTAGTTTTTAGTACTGAACTGTTATTTATGTGTGAGAGAAGGGCCCCTTCCCTGGGAGAACTACTTTGTATCAAGGTTGAAATACAGGTGAGTCTGGGCATTCGAGGTGCCTGGTAGAAGAAGTCATTTTGGAGTTTTAAGAAGTTACATAGAGACAGATCTAAAAGTTGCCCCCCCAAATGACGTGTCTTGTAGCAGAAGCAAGGAGGCGATTTAAATGAACCAACTGGGGAAATTTGAATCTAAAGCCAAAGGCCCTTTTCAGTAAGTACAGAGGCCATTAAGGCCACTGTTGGTATGCTCATTTTAAAACTGAAAGCACCTGTAAACACTTAGGAACCGTGGCCTGTGTGTGACTCACAGCACACTGTCACACACTGTCACACAGACTGTGAAGAGCAGCGGAAAGACTTGACACCTTGCCAGCACCCCCTTTGCCTGTGTACCGTAGCAATGCGGCTGAAAGTCTGGGGGCACGCCACACTCAGACGTCTGCAGTGAGTGCAGTCTCCTTTTCACGGTAAACAGTACTGTCCAGGAACAGCGTGGCCCTGCAAAGCCCACTGCCTTCCCACTGGACAGCGCAGACACCAGGGGACCTGGGTGCTCTACCCTGGAGTGGATTAGTCCTGGAAATCCAGGCAAGCACTTGGTATTATCTGATACCAAGTCTGGGGTGAGCCTTGGCTCCTGGCACGGAGTACTAGCAATTCCCCAGGCTGGGCTCTGGCCTGCTAAGGTTTCCTAGCTCCTTCTGTTCAGCTAGACACCCCTGAGACTGTTCAGAACCGAATTAGCTATGGAGATGGGCGAGCCTTTAACCTGACATTCCTAACCTTAGCCTTGGGTTGTGTTTCTTATTTAAAACTCTACAGTCATTTCCTTCTGGGCCTCAAAGGTGTGTGTGTGTGTGTGTGTGTGTGTGTGTGTGTGTGTGTGTGTATTTGTGTTACATGGGCCTCCTCATACATACACAGAAAAAAGTAGTGTATGCCCTATGGAGGTGATTGGCCCTGCTGGGTATATGACACAGAGAAGTTCTGTAGTAACTTTTGGAGGTAGGACCCAGTTAAGATGTTAAGCCTATATTATATTTGAGAGGTAGCTTTTAAGATGATATTATTCAAAGTAAAGGCCTCTGTTTCTTGGCTTAATGCCGCAATTTTCATTTGGGGATTTAAAATGTGACTCAGTTGCTGTGGATGGCTCTTTCACAAAAATTCTTCCATTAATAAAGTTCATGCCAGTTCAAAAGAATGACCTGGAGGCCCTTTGAGACGAACCTGGCTGTCACCTTCATCAGAGTCCCAAACAGTGTCACCTAAGATGCTCCCTCAGCGTAAGAGGGGATGGGACGGAGCTGACTCGGGACTGCATGGCAGGCTGGGACCTGTCAAGCATTATTACAGATGGGATCGTGAGGCCAAGAGAGGGATCAGGAAGGTCGCTCTAATGCATTTATTCCAGTTTCTGTGTTCCTTACCGGTGGTAACCAGCACTTTCAAATTTCTGCATTAGCATCAATTTACCCACACACATATGAGTTTAGACTCTATCACATTTATCATGGGGATTTGCCTGATACCTACTCCCCAGGGTAGGAAAAGTTAATAAAACAGTTGTTCTATTATTGCAGTGTTTTCACTGTTTACTCAGTTGTGGGTCAAGATCAGAACAGGTTACTGTGTTTTTCATTAACAAAACTTTAGCAAACTCTGCTCTCTAGTAAAACTGGGAAGCAAAATGACTGGAAAGCAACTGGATCCTTTATTTTTATGCTTTTATGAGTCTGTCTGTCCCTGTGTCCCTGTGTCCCTGTGTCTCTCTCTCTGTCTCTCTCTCTGTCTCTCTCTCTGTCTCTCTCTGTCTCTCTCTCTGTCTCTCTCTGTCTCTCTCTGTCTCTCTCTCTCTGTCTGTCTCT